GCAAGCCTATGAGCAATATCAAAACCAATCAAAATAATTGATTCTACGTATGACAACTTTCTAGACTATTATATGGAAGTATTTAAAAATCTGATTTATTTGAGGGCTTGGCTGCAGTGCAGAATTTACATTACATACTTTTTTCAAAACCTGAATAACCAAAGGGTTCATTTACAATAATGCTTAAAACTATTATGGAGGCTGAGGAATATATTTAATGCTAATGTTTTGGTGTCTGAATTAAGGTCAGAGGAAGCGTAAGAAATTTCATAACAGGTGGCTCTCGCTATATTAAGTAGTATAAAAAAGTTTAGTACTATTTTCATCATATCTACAAAATAGTAATATTTTATTTTAATTAAGTTATAAGCAGGTTTTCGAGCTTCACTTTTTCTTCTGAAAAATTACACTGCTTTTGGTTTTAAGAAAGGAAAAAATATAGTGTCCCATAAGACAGACAGCTGGTATTTTTCCTACAAAGACTCACTTTCAGGATAGGCCTCAAAATACTGGGATGGGGATGGAGCTTCCATCTACATAGTGTTCCTTGATCTCTCAGTTTTCAGTACTGGATATTGTTGACTCATTCTAGTCCAGCTGCAGGAGTTAGCAATGGGAAGCACAATGCTTCAGTGATTCATTTCTTTCCTTATCCGTCGTTTCCAGTTGGTGTTTGCAGCGGGGGGGAGGGGGGAGAGATCATGTCCATGGACCTTCATGGGTATGTCAGGACTCGACCCTCTACTCTCTCCTGTTCAACATCTACATGGAACCATTGAGTGAGTTCATCTGCTAGTTCAAGGTGATCAAGGTGAAACCCAACATTATATCTTTATCTTGAGCAGCGCAGTTGAAGCTGTTAGTATATTGACCCAGAGCCTGGAAGCTATTCAGGTCTACACAGGACAGGACAGACTTTGGCTCAATCTTACAAAACTGATTGGCTGTGATTGTTTGGATCCCCTTGGTTGTGGATATTAAGACTGGTGTGCAGGGGATCCTTCTGGAATCATAGCTATGGCTTACAGTTGGTGGCAGCAGTGATCAGGAGGGCCTTTGCACTGGTTCATTTTGTGCACCAGTTGCACCCTTGCCTCAATCATGAGGCTTTTCCAACAGTGACTGATGCCTTGATCATCTCTTAATTAGATTACTGCAATGCGCTCTACATGGAGCTGCCCTTGAAGATTAATCCCAGAGACTACACCTGGCAGCAGCATAAGCAGTCACATAAGTAAGCACATAAGAAAGCAGTTTTCAGTCTCCTTTATTTACCAATAAAATTATTACTAATTTATTTTCCAACAAAATCTAACAAAAGTCACTAAAATAATTTAGTGAGTACTATAAACTATACCCTAAATCAATATTTTATAAACATTTTTTCTCTCGGGATCCCTCCCCACTTTTAAGAATTGGGGTGGATTTTAAAAAACCTTTGTTTGTATAGGTTATATTTATCTATATTTACTGTATTAAAAGTTAACATTAATATACCCTGTTTCCCCAAAAATAAGACCTCCCTGGATAATAAACCCAATCGGACTTTTGAGCATATATGCTAAAATGATACCTCCCCTCAAAATAAGCCCTCCCCAAAAATATTGCAACACAGCAGCAGCCATGAGGTGGCCACGCTCGCCGCCTCCTGCACCTCAAAAATAATAAGACCTCCCTGGATAATAAACCCAATCGGACTTTTGAGCATATATGCTAAAATGATACCTCCCCTCAAAATAAGCCCTCCCCAAAAATATTGCAACACAGCAGCAGCCATGAGGTGGCCACGCTCGCCGCCTCCTGCACCTCAAAAATAATAAGACCTCCCTGAAAATAAGGCCAAGCACTTATTTCGGGGGGTCAAAAGAAAATATAATAAAATATATCTTATTTT